GCGTCAATTTTGACATAAATTTGAGTCATAACAGACGCGAACTCAACTCAATCAAACGTACTTTTCGTCGAACATCGAACTTTTCAGTCTCGAAACACTTAATATTACATGACATGTTTGTTTCGTGCAAAATTTGTTATTTCTTAGTGTGTAGTAGAACGCCTAGATCGCTGAACTGGCCGGTTCTATAGTATAACACCGTTGATGGCCTAATCGAAAATAATCGGCTGCTTGATGCGGTAAAACGGTATGCATTTTGGTATGCTCACGTTAAGCTTATTCCGATTGCACCAACCAACGAATAGATCCAATGGAGATTGAAGGCGAATACAATCCTTGCCCCGTAACGTGGGTAGATCACCTTTTCGTGTTATGTTACGGGATACAAGATCTACCACCGATTCCTAGTCCTGACTACTTCAAACTAGGGGAACAGGATGTTTCAGTAATCGAAAGAACACATCTTAGTCCTTGTTACTTTTTAAGCCTTATTGATAGTGACAAGACTCGGCTTTGTCCACCGAGGATGATCTTGAAACAAGGACAACATGAGTTGCACAGCTAAAAAAAAGTAGTGTAAATTTCCGTTACTATGATGCACATAAATGGAGCGTCATAAATCATACAAATTTACATTATAAATCATGTAAATTTATGAGACATGTCATGCAATATTCCATATATTGTATGCAACTTTCCACCTTTGTTTGCAACATTTCTTGCAAGCTGCTAGTTTACGTGAAAAGGAAGTTTAAATGCATGAATGTTTGCATGCATGGATGTTTACATCACCAGTAAAATTCAGATTTTTTTAGTGTGGGTTAGTCTTCATCTATGTGATTCCTAATCTTCTATTGGTTGTTCCCTAGTTTGAAGTGGTTAAGACTAGAGTTCTGATGCATGGTCATTATCGGTGTCATTCCTTAATTTTGTTGCTAAGGAATCCAATTTTGACTGACAAAGGGACGTGTAGAGCTTCCATTTCCCGGTGGTTTCCTCCATTCTGGGATTCGGAAAATATTTATTTGATATCCCGGGATCCCGGGAAGTGAATAAAGATAATAAATTGTTTTAATATTTATATTTTTGATCTCCTTCGAAGAAAGATTAAAAAAAGGAGATTTCTTCAATAGTAGGGACATCTCATTTAAAGACATATCTTTATTTTGAAGACATTTAAGATTCTGTGAAGGTATATTTTTCATGCAGACATTTTGAAGACATCACATGATTTGTGAAGTTGTTTCAAGACATGCGGAAGCTGAAGCAGACTTCCGATGGATTTTTTTTTTAATTTTAAGCTGGCATATGAAGATTTTTGTTAAATAAATGAAGTTTATGACTTCATATTTTCTGAATATGTTGAATATGAATAATGTTACCAAAATCGGATATTTCAGAATAAAACTTGATCCAATTGAATATTCACAGGACTTCACTGAAATATTCGATTACCTTGAGATCTTTTGAATACTTGCTGATCAACGTTCAGTTTTGGGAGCATATCTTCACAATAGTATTATCAATATATCAAATCAACAATATCTTCAAGTATTATAATAAACCTGAAGCCTTGAAAAATATCCAGAGGACTTTATTGAAATCTTCGATCAGCTGGAGACCTTTTAAGTACTTCCTAACCGATCTGCCATCTTGAGAGACCAAGTTGAATGTTTGACCAGTTTAAGATCTTCAGATTTCCTGATCAACCTGAATTCACTTATATCTGACCAACCAGCAATCTTGAAACACTATCTAGAGACGTTATTTGAATTTTATGAACAGTTGAATATCTTAAGAATAATAATTGATCACCCTGAAGTCTTGAAAAAATATCCAGAGGTCTTTAAATCTCCGACCAGTTAATAAGACGTCGTTTGAATTTTTGAAGAGTTACAGATCTTCTGAACATTACTTGATTAAGTTTAAAAGTCTTGAATAATATCGAGAGATATAATCGCAAATTCGTGAATATCAGTTCTACAAAGATTCCTGTACTTTCAAGAAGTTTCTTGAACTTAAACTCAGTTCCATGAACTCATATAAAGTTCTTTGAATATGTAGAAAATTCGACGGAATCCTGGAATTTTCCCAGTTTCCAGTACTTCAAAGATTTTTCCATTGCTTACATCTTTTAATTTTTCGATAGGTACAACTGAACTTCTACTCAGCTTGCTGAACTTGTACGAATTTCAAATATTTCATGCGATGTTCCGTAATCATCGTCCACGAAGTTGTTTAACATTCTACGAAGTCCCTGAAGTTTTACGAAGTTCCACGAATTTCTATGAAGTTCTCTGAAATCAAATGAATGTCTCTTGACATCTAAGAAATTCCCTAATGTGACGTGATATTTGTCAGCCAAATTTTACAATAGTCCGTGTAAATCATGATGATTATGGTGGATGATTTCCCTCATGAATGTATTTGTAAAAACTATTCTGCCGTGCTTTAGGATTACATAGATTACATGCTAACGGGAAAAGATAATGCATACCTTTCAACGTAACGAATGATAGCCAGAGAGAGCTATGGAAGTCAAGATAGAAGTCGGTGACATATAGAAGTTTCTCCAGAAGGAGTAAGCATTTTACAAGATTCCGCTCGCTAATCTAAGGAAGGACTCTAAAAACTGCAAATACTGAGTATTTTCATCAGTTGAGACTACTCACTTAGAAATAAGTAATCCATCTTTGACGTAAATTATGGAACGTAAACAAACATGTCATGTAAAATTAACTGTTCCTAATCCGAAAAATACGCAACTCGACGAAAAGTACACTTGATTGTATTGATTTTCTCGTTTCTTTTAACTTATTCTTATGTCATTTGGGCCGCTTACATGTGTCGGTCTCAGGGCACGGAAATTTACATGGCTTTTTTGTAGTGTGTACCATCTTAACAATGCATTTCAATGGTTTTTCGATCAGCTATGAATGATGGACATCTCACGACGCTCAACCTGATTTTCGTCTATCTACCATCTAGATACGTGATTGTAAAATTTAATCAAAATGTTTCACTGTTAGGTCGTATTTTACACAAGTGCTTCTTGTACAACGGTCATATACAAAAAGTGATGTCTGTGTGCAATACTCTCGAAAAATCAGAATGAATGGCAAACGAAGGGAAGATATATATTTCATAAGATGTGAAAGTTGTGGATTCAAATTCTGCTACAGATATCCCAAGAAAGATTTAAAGGGGGGAAACACGCAATCCCGGGATTTTTAAATTAATTTCCCGGGATTCGGAAATCCCGGGAAATGTCACAATCCCGGGAGTTTCATCCTGGGGCATCCCGGGATGTAAGCTCTAGGGACGTGCCTTTGGAGGGTGTTCCAACACTCCGAAGGGTATATATAGCGGGGCCTTTCAATTAGAGTCGGATCCTTGCGATAAATGCAAGAAACATTATCGGAGGCACCAGAACATGTCCGAATGCACTAGTGTGATCGTGGACTGTCAATAAGCTAATTAATGACCGAGTTTTGAAAAATAATGGAGTTTGATATGTAGCACAACGGGGTTTGGTTCTAGTCGAGAACCGGCCACTTCCCCGGGGAACCGGAACATGCCCAGAAGGGCTAGTGTGACCGTGGATTGTTAATAAGCCATTACCGGCCATGTTTTGTAAAATCATGAAGTTTGAATTTTTGTTGAGAATTGACCACTTCCCCGGGGGCACCGGTTATTTTCTGTTAAGCCCAATTTGGTCATGGACCATCGGTATGGCCGCCGTTGCTCCAATTTTATAATTGGAGTGAGAAAATATTATGTTCGCCCGTTTAATTATTACAGAACAGTAAAGCATAATGCCGTCCCAGAGTTACCCTTACAAAAACCGGAATAACTCAGGAACCATGTATTTATCCTAATTTTTCTAGACGGATTCAAAAACATGAAAAAAATTACGACAAAATGCAGAAAAGGATTGAGAAATAATGTTTTTAAACATCAAATCGCTTTCTCGTGGGTTCAAGTTAATGAACGAAGCTCAAAGCATTGAATTTAAAAAAAGTCCGAAGTGGTGATGCAAATGAGGCTTCGTTGAGCCTTGCCCTTAACCACCATACCCTAATCTTCACTACACAGCAAAAAAATAATTTTGATATCACGTCAAAGTGGATGCACTACAATCATGTCGAAAATATGGTGTAATATTACTGGCTAAAAAGGATAAAATTATCATTAATACAATGCATGAACTGACATTACGCTGCTTTTACTGCATTTGTTTATTTATGTGGTCATAAAAATTACATGAAATTTTCGACATGATTGTAGTGCATCCACTTTGATGTGATATCAAAATTATTTTTTTGCTGTGTACACATCACAGATTGGACATTTATTTTGACAGCAGCAAGCACAGTAAAACTAGATGGGTCTTCAATGTCCAGAGCTTTCTTCACAGGCCACCGACATCGAACGGTAGGCATGTGTAATAATGGATTTTAATTTGATTTGAACCGATTTCGTATACCATGCTACAATGTTGTGCACATCATCCCGGACTACCCACATTCCGGTATTGTGGCACTTGTTCACAACACACATTGAATAGCTTCATATTGGATGGCTGAATGGAGAATAATAGGATAGAAGGACGACGATGTTTGGATACAAAAATGTTGTGAGACTTGGTAGGTAATACTGCTTTCAATGCTTATTTGGTAGTTGTTGTGGAGAGTCTGTGGTTGATGGTGTCGCAAATGAAATGGGATGGACAATATCTAAATCTGCTGGTACGAGCTGGTACGAGTCCAAATTGAATTCGTGTGCAATGAGCCAAAGACTCGACCAAGTATGTACTTATAACTGATTAATCCCAAGTGAAGAGTATCTTGGAAACCTGTCGCGTTATTTATTGGTTCTAATTTGGAGTGACCATTACCCGCCCTTAGTTCAGCTTCCCATGAAAGTTTAATTAGACAGTACCAATTCACATTCCTTCGAGTTGATGTCACGTATTCTCCAACATGCGCTTTGACACTTACCAGGATCGTAAACAAACGTCCAATAGACTATCGTAACGATGAACGAGTAAACTGTGGCAATCGTGTAGAGAACCCAATATACAGCATGAAGTCGGCTTTCCCGGGCGACATGGATATTCCATTCTTGAAATGAGAGAAAACAAAGACATTGTAGTGTAGATAACAACATTTGTATGCCATCAATTTGCTGACATCCATGATCCCAGCCCTCGAGCAATGCGTATGATTGTATATACCATCCACACACATATTGACTAGTTTGCGCAAGCTTTGGGTGGCCTTGGATGTATGGGATACACTCATACGCATTGTGCCGAAGGGCAGAGCAAGACATTTACCGAACTCGTTCCGGTCAATCATCAGCCCTTTGGTAACGATAATTGCCGCCAGCCAAGCCTGAAGGGCACATGCTATCAGGGCCCAATGCGTCAGGTAGATCCACCATTTGGCGTAGTGATGTTCCAGCATCGGTTCCGATCGGCCAATGTCCAGCGCTGAGCAGGCCAATACCGCCAGTAACAGAATGGCCACGATTAACCGGTACATCAGGTAGCATATTCCGACCTGGGTGTTAGTTTGCCACTGTAATGAAAGAAAAAGAAGAAGAAGAAAACAATGGTCAAACACATGTATTTAGCTGGGCTGGATGCTATTTGTCGGAGCGGAAGTACACCGATACCAGATACAGGTGGTTGATTTATTGATGACCGAGAAACATGTTAGCATGTTTGGGGTTTTGTATGGGCTTAGGAATTTTAGGTTAGGTATGTTGGGTTGTAGTCCAAACCGCTCTACCCTCACATTCTCTGCAGCCTCCGATTGATACACCATTTTTATGTTTTTAAATTGATTTTCACCCAAGCCAAAAAGCAAAACAACCACCCTATTGGTGCAGTGGAATGTGTTGCTCGGTTACCGCAGCTGACAGTCAAATTTATTGTGTGATAATAATATATTCTGGGCCTATCCTTAGCCTATGCAGTGAAGGCCATTGAGTAAAGCAAAATTTTGCTGAGGCATGGGTTCGATTCCCGGTCCGGCCAAGAAATATTGCGGGTTGGAAAATTTCCCATCATCCCTTAGCATAGAATTCCATGGTGTCATTGTGCTTGTCACACCATACTCAAATGATCTCAATTAGCAACTGTGGTGTGGCTGAATAATCACAAGGATCCATTTGGGCCGTAATTTCCTAGAAGAAGAACAACATCATCATATTCGATAGGTACACCTTCGGGGATTGCGTCCAATACAGAAAGGTCATTTGTCGGTGGGAATTGAATTAATGGTGGTTTACTAATGAGACTTGTTGCGGAAACGTACATATCATTGCGCTGTAGGATAATTGAAATTAAATTTATGTAACGTGTGATACCTTCAAAGACAAAAGGATATTAAGAAATATGAATAATAATGGGAGCTTTTCGATTTGCGATGTTATTTATGCATATTGATTAATGGGCAACACGAGTCAGCTTATGTTTTATTGGTTACGTTCTAATTAAATTCGAGTTAAAAATTAAAATGATCTAGTCTTCTTCTTCTTATTCTTCTAGGGTTTTTAAGCTTCTTTTGCAAGCGTTTCGCTGGCTTCCACAAGTATGATTTGAGAAAATCTTTTAAATTTGTCGAACCTCTTAACGGAATCCCTTTATGAAGAGCTTTGCGTGTGTTGGTTTATTTCCTTTAAATTCCGTTATAATTGCTTATCTTTAGACAGATACGCATATTTCGTCTACTACTTGCAGACTTCATCAGTGCCAAGTACTCAACACCACTCAAAGCTCTTCATGAATTGCCTACCAATGCATTGCATGAATTTGTTATATTGTGTAGCAACAGTCATGTCAGGTTTATTTAGATAAAGAAAATCATGTTTTCACATGTCTTCGCCGCCTCTTTTAAAATCTGTGTGTGTGTGTGGGAAGGTGTTCATTATTTTAGATCTATAGAACTGACTCTACTGAATTACAGTAGTTTAGGGTAGTTAAGAGATCACCATTTGACTTCAGAGAACTTCGTAAAAGTTCAGGGAACGTTATATAATGTCATGGAACTTCATAGATCTTCAGAAAACGGCGTAGAAGTATAGAAACTGCGAGGAACTGCGTTAAAGTTCTGGAAACTTTCCTGAAATGTAGCAAATTTTATAATAGTTCAGCTAACTTTGTTAATGCTCAGCGAACTTTGTAGAAGTCAAGTGAACTTTGTTGATCTTCAATGAACTTTGTAGAGGTGAAAAGAATTTTGTAGATCTTCTGCAAATTTCGTAGAAGTTCAGAGAAAATTGTAGAACTTTTATCAAACTTTGATGAAATTGGGCAAATTTCAGAGAAATCATGCGAATTTTGTAGAAATCCTGGGAATTTCTGAGGTGGGCGAATCAATCTAAGCTGCAGGAAAAATTTCGCTTTGCTGTTGTGAGATGTGCGCACGCTTAGTAGATAGAAAATAGATTGATGGAGAGTTTGAAGATTTGCTGAGATGAAGAGAGATAAAAAAAAAGATTTATCGATATCGTGAAATTTTCTGACTACCTAAAATTAAGATTTGAATGGAATCAGGGTTTTTTTTTTCTTTATTAGAGAGATTTTTAGCCATAGGCTAGTTCATCTCTTAAATGGAATCAGGGAATTTTGTTGAAGCTTGAAGATTTTTCTTAAACTTCACTGAATTTCTTAAAACTTCAGGGCTTTATTGATGTACGATAGATGAGCCCGTTTTGGCCCTAGACCCAGTATATTTTTTCCTTTGTTTTGTTTTCCGTCGATCTTGTTTTCCGTGCTGAGCACCAATGCTACCGACACCAGGGGTGCAGCTCCCACACCTGGACCCTACCTATCGACCTATCAACTCATGAACCGGGGACCAACGGCTTAACTTCCATTCCAAAGGAAGGCGTGATCAGAGACGTTATGCCTCAGAACATCCCAGCGGCGCCGACTGGGATTTAACCCAGACCTGCTGGGGTGAGAGGCAATCACGCTTACCACCACACCACCGGTGCCGCTAGATCCAGTGTTTGGCCAAAGTCGTAATTTTAGCCTATAATAAGATAACATGGATGATATGCTGTGGGCGACTGTATTTCAGCAGAGCAACATATATTGAGTTCAGAAACGAAATTCCTGTTCATAGTTCTTCAATTTAGCACCATAAAATTTACTTCAAAATACTGCTTCCATATCAATGACCTTTGTATAAGGTCTGGGCCAAAGGGCTTATTGGTGTTAGTGAAATGTGCAAATGTTTAGTGGTGTTCGTATTTTATTGCAATGTTTATCTTTTTACACGAAACAGCTGTTGGCAGTGACGTCCCAGACAATCAGAAGTCGTATAACAATGTACAGACAGTATCGTAAATTGCTACAGTTTATGCCAAATCGCATATAAGAATGGCATACCTCGCATTATGTTTAGAATGCAAATTTCCGACCGATATGCGATGACTCATTTTTCCGTCGGACTGTATCACAAATTAAATCGGATTATATCGTAAGACTTTTCAAAACGAATTGATTATTACAGATTAAATCGTATATGATGTTAAATCAACTCTTTTAAAATTAAATTAAAATATGCACGTATATGGCCTCCACTTTTGTACGTATAAGGCATTTATTTGCATAATATACGAATTGTTTGTTTGTATATATGATTGTATATCACGAAAACAACTTTGAATATACGTGCAATCTGGTTGTCTGGGGTGTTTCTATCTGTTCGCAGATGTTCAGCAATGTTTACAACATTTTTGCTTCTAACACCAGCAAGCTGCCTGTTGGCCCAGACCTTATATACATGTCATTGCTTCCATATAACTTTGAATCGGACATTTTGTTATGCGATATACTTTTTTATTAAAATAGTTAAAACGTTGATGATCTTTTTGCTGAAACGTTACGTAAATTGTTCAATTTTAATAATTAAATAAGAATTAATATGTTTTTCAATTTTATTGACTGATTTTATATTGGGGCCAAACATTGGTACACCTTATCATAGTGTGCGCTTATTGGCACTAGTGTAGAGTGTGATGGTTTTAACAGTGCCAGTTGGTTTTTGTTTCTACTTTGCTATTTCTTCAAACCAAAACAGAGAAGTGGCAGCGAACAAGACCGTCAAGAAAGGAAGGAATTAAGGTCCCGCTGGGTCACACCGATTTGTCTGGAATGGAAAATATTTCCCGTGTCACCGATGGTATGAAGGTCAGGTTGGTCGTCATGAAGTTTCGCCTTAAGCCTCTATGTCGGACGTCGCGGAGAAGTGCAGGCCACTAGGAATCACCGCTCTGCACATTGAACTGTTTACCATCGACAAACACACCAAAATTTCCAAACTAAAAATTCAGTCCACTCTGCGTGCCCTAGCACGCTATTTGATCATATTGAAGACGTTGCTCATCCAAAATTCATCGTGTTCGACTTTTCCGATGGGAGGTTGCCGTGGTCATCGTCCATAAAGCATACCGCTTGTTCTTTAACAGATACTGTTTTGGGCTTTGCATTTACCCATCTGAAAATTGGAGGCATTCAACGACAGCTGCTGGCAGGGAAATGCTCCATATGTGCAACAAATGAAGTGATCCTTAATTAATAAATCCATCCCCACTATATGTACAAAAGCATTCACTCAAGAGCTAGGTATAGGCTAAGGTTTCGCATGTTCTGGGTGTGTGCTAAGCATTTCAATGCCATCTAAAACAAAATTCATTGACTGTGCAACCTAACATTTCGAATCTAGTGATATTTACTAATCTCTTTTTAATGCAATCTTTAAAATTAATGATTAATAAATTGTTTGTTTGAGTTTGTATTCCCTCCCGTAGGCCATTTTTAAGCACCTTGCCGAAGGTGGGCGAGTTTAATCTCATGTTGTAGACTTGCATGGAAGGCCAAGACTGTGGCCCGAATTGATGGTATCACACATTCTTTTCATTCATTTTTAGCCATGTCGTAAACGTTTATAAAAAGGCACTGACATCAGGTATGATACTAGTGGATTTAGCCGCAATTCACTCCTAAATCGGACGATACTTGTTAGATTAAATAATGTGCATTCATCTCTATCCCAAACATTTTAGATAAAACGACTAAAAGTGCACTTTTCAATTGAGTGACGTACTTTCATTACTTTTAATTCAATAATTATCATTGTATGAATAACTAAAAATACCTATATTGCAGTTGGTATCATAAATAATTTATGTATTGCTACATTTTCAGAAAGGGTGAATACTTCCGTTATGGCTGTGTATCCTGTTATGTGTTCGGTTGTGGCATTTAGGAATACCATTAACCATGACAGGGTGTGTTGGGATGGAGTCAGGTGGCCGTGATGGAAGTGTTGACCCTAAACAAAATACACTATATATAGGAAACTTATCTGGGAATAAAGCATTTTACCACAGAAAAAAGTTACTTAAGACCTTTGTCCGTCTTTACAAATTTTGCAGATCAATGTAGAAAAAGGAGATAGAGAGAAATATTTCTTTTAGGCTGATCTCGTAGGAAGACTAGAATGCGGGGAGTCTGCATAGGAAGGCAACTAGGCCTTTGTTGTGGAGTATTTTGGTTTTGAGA